TGTTGGGGGCAATATGCTGACTCTCTGTAAACCGCTTAGAGAGGGCTGAAAGCCCTATGAAGCGGTATATAAGTCTGCTATTGCTATTGCTATTGCCACGCCCACCAAGGCACACCGGAAGTAAAAAATAAAAATTGCATTTCACCACTGCTTCAGATGTTTTGCTGAACAACCCATAGCAGTCTCAAGTCAGCCAGACCAGCACTAATGGTTTCTGGAAGGTATTGCAGGACGCACCTGAAGAGCCAGGTTCCCACCAGGATTCTAAATTGCTCAGAAAATATTCCCAAATCACCTGGCTTCAGCCTTGGCAGTTCTGTTCTTTGCTTTTCACGTATGAGTGAATCGGCAGGTGCAAATGAGTGGGTCTTCTCAGCAGCGAGATCATAATTGTAGGCCACCTTCCTGGCACAGAACTTCTTTGTATGCTCCGCATCGTCTCTATTGTAATGCTGTTTTCTGCCCAATTTTATGGTAAACCTCAATCTATAAGCAAATAAAATTTGGCTTGTTATTAGTACATTCATTACTTTTTAATAGTTCCATGTAGATATCAAGCCTGGGATTTAATTTGGTTTTTTTTTTTTCTGTCAATATTATCAGAAAACTCTGAGACTTGGAAAATTATGCTGGATCCTGTGGCCCAAGGAGGTCCTTATACTATAGAGGCGCATCAGTACATCGAGGAAGAAATATTAAATATATCAATAAAAGATATCTACTTTGGAGATGTTTGGATTTGCAGTGGTCAGAGTAACATGGAGATGACCGTTTCACAGGTGAGCCCCCATTCCTCTCAATTCCAGGTATAGTTTAAGGACCATGCAGGAGAGGGATCGGATAAAAGCATTCTGGGAACTGGTATTAAGCCACTTAGTTCTGCTTATGGAGACACAGACTGAGAATTATTTTGTTAAAAGGACATTTTTGGCTTATTCTTATGATAAATTATACCGTGATACTTAGGCTCTCAACCTAAAGTCCAGATTGTGATTCAGACATTCTGTCTTAACCATGATCTTATACTTATTGATTGTTTTTGGTTTACTTGCTCTAACCCAGTGGTCCCCAACCTTTTTATCGCCGCGGACCAGTCAGCCTTTGATAATTTTACCGTGGCCCGCTGAGCGCGCGCAGGGGTGGGGGGGCGTTGTTCGCGACAACAGATTGATTGTTTATATATCACGTGTGTACCAGCGCGGGGCTCTCTTCCCTGGAGCCTTTGCGCACGGCCCAGGAGCCTTTGCGCTGCAGGGATCATGTCCCCCGGCCGCTGCGCGGACCGGTGCCAGGTACTCCACGGCCCGGCACCGGTCCGGTCCGCGGACCGGGGGTTGGGG